AACAACAACAACAACAATGTTCTTGCGACAAGCCTACGGCTGGTGACAAGCCTGTTGCTACTTAAAAACTCTTACGACAAAAAAAGCAAAAATCCTGTAAGCTACATCAATGAAAATAATTTTGCAAATCATTAGTTTGTACAAAATAGACTGCCCACAGGCCTCCAAATCTCATGTTCCAATGTATTTTGAAAAGCTGAAATGAGGATTTTCATCCTGTTGCCATGTGCGGCCTTGGAAAGGCGGTGCAGGAGCAATTGGAGTTGGAACTGGACAGTAGTGAGTCTGATTAGTAGCCCCTCCAGGCAGAAAGAGCCCACAAGTCAGACATGTGACCCATGGCTGCTGTGTTACACACAGTAAGATTGAAGACATCCCTGCTTTCAAGGGCAGCCACATTCTCAGGACTGACGTGGTAAGAATAAGAACTCTAAAAAGGCTGGTCTATCAGCCTGATTTTGACCAGCACACCTCCGTTTTCTCAAATACAAAATCACAAAGACAGATTAAGGTTCTTACCTTAGTAACTCAAAATTTTTAAAAAATTTATTAATTTTAATGAACATTTACAGAGATTTTGGATTTTCATTCATTCATTATCGCACTTTTTTCTTTACCCCTTCCCCCCCAGTTCGCTCCTCTCTTTGAAAAGCAAAAGATAAACGTCTTCGTTGGTATACAATACCACCCAAACCTCGACCCTGTCTCCCTCCCCTCCACCCCAAATGCACTCTACTATGCAACCTTAATTCTGGATTCCTCAATCCAGTGGTAACTCAAAATTTTAAAGGTGCACCATCTGTTTTACAAAAGGAGGATGGCACCGTGTGAGCTGTGAGACACTTACCCTTCTAGCTGCTCCTCTCCTAAAATCTGGCGAAGATTCTTCAGGAAGGACAAGGAGACTAAGGCATGGGAATGACGAATCTTTATGTAGCCTGTAACAATCTCGATAAGACCCATGAAGTTCTCCAGTTCCGAGGCAATGTTGTCTAAAGTAAGAGGGGACAGGGTTACTAAAAGTTCACTTAGCCTAATGGTGATATATGTTATAATTGTGGTAAATATACATGTCACAGAACATTTACCATTTCAACAATCATACATAACCCAGAGTCATTACCAGCACTAATCAGGTTGCTCAACCACCACCATCATTCATTTCCAACTGCACCCCTCAGAACAGTTTGGTATCCTCTGAGCAATAAACCCACCTTCCTTCTTCTCCCTCCCACTCCTGGTCACCACTAATGAATGTTGGTCTCTATTTATTTGCCTATTCTAGGAATTTCATGTAAGTGGGATTATACAGTATTTGCCCTTTTAAGATTGACTTGTTTCACTCAGTATCCTGTCAAGGTTTGTGTCTTAAGAAAAACTATGAGGAAAAACTAAATGGATGCTCAGGGCCTTCCTTCTCTTTTTAAGAACCTATTTCCCTCCACAGCCCTTTCTTCTAGACCACTTACAAATAAGGCCTGAGACCAAGGAAGGCAAGCTTTGTGCACTGCAACTTTAAATGCTGATTAACAGAATGCAAAATCATAAATACCAGACTGCCAAACGGTAAAGGTCAACAAATGTCTCTGGTGCTGTTCTCACCACGGACTCACAGAAACCTATGAACAGGACAGAAACCTCGCCATACACTGTTCCACCCTCACTACCTCTGATACAGTCACTGTGCCAGCCCGTCCTGTTGAGGGTCTTCTTCTCTTTCTCTGACCTTCCATCATTCCCCACATGGTGGCTCTCTCCAAGGACTGCCCCCCTCCCCCCCGAAAACATGCCCAGTATTGCTCTAAGGAGCACAACTGTTGCACTTTGTCTAAAATAGACATGTTAATTCTTCTGGTGGATTAGCAGTTCAAATCCACCAACTGCTCCACAGCAGAAGGATGGGAAATCTCCTGCATGATTTACTGCCTCTAAAAACCCACTGGACAGTCTACAGGTTGTCCAACTCGACGATACACAACAGCAGCAACAGTAACATTAGAAAAAGTAAATGTCACAGAATAAATAGTTTCGTCACTTTTTAAATGATACTTTTTTTCTTTAAGGGGGATTTACTTAAAGTAATTTTTCAATGTCAAGGTCTTCTACATATACTTATTCAAGCATGTAAAACTATCAGCACATTGGTGGTAAAAGTGGCAGAGACTTTAAAACGACCCTATTGTAAGCATTTGTCAATTAAAGGCCAGAAGGCAGACTATCACAGAATCAATGGGAAATGATCTCATAAACACAATTCAGAAGCCATGTTCCAGGAAGTCCATTCTCTGTTAAGAGTGGCCTCAAGTACACTATGACACAACTGTACCTCTCTGGCTCTCAGAAACAAACTGGGAGTCCAAGCACTGTTTCGGACTTAAAATCTCAAAAGTGGGCTTAAACGTGTTCCAGTTAAACCTTTCCTTTTATCAAGTCATCTCTTTCAATTCAAGTAAACAAAACTGTTTGTGTAAAAGATGTTTAGTCATCCATCTGACCCCTGGGTCTCTTCTGGGGGATCTGTGTGTTGGGTGGATGCCTCTCCTACACAACAACAATGGGAAGGGAGGATGATTGTCTGTAAGAATAAATGCAGGGCCAATGGCTAGGAAATGCTTGTCTTTTCAGTTCTTTTTCGTCTTCGAGGAAAGTCAAAGGAGAAGGCTTTTTTTTTTATGTGGGGCATTTCCCTAGGCTCTTATTTCCCTTGTACCACAGGGGCCGGCAAACAGCAACAAAAGAAAAGCAAGAGAATAGAGACCTGAGCACTTCTTTTAGTGGATTAGATACTTACTGCCTCGACGAATATTAATGAGCAAATTGCCTTTGAAGATGGTGCATCCTTGAAGCATTTGCGCAGAAGTCACAGAATCAATGGTCTTTGTTTTCTTTTCCTCACAGACTTTGGGGCAAGGACCTTCACAAGGGATGCAGAACATGCTGTAGAAGACAAAGAACCAGCTGTAAACACTGGGAATTGAGTCCTTGAAAAATCATAAGTGATTTTAGTTGTTATTTTTATAGTATACATGGCAAAGAACAACTTAAAATATTATTCATGTAGTCACTGGCACTCTCATCCCTGAGCCCACTCGGGACAATCCACACTGAACCAAAAGGGCAAAGTGTTTACAAAGGAAAGGCTTGTTGCTTGTTTGTAGACAGACTCTGTGATGCATCCCAGAGACACACATAACTGAGTCGCTAGCTGGTTCCATGTGGCAGACATGGCTCTGAGGGTCTCCCGGGGCACAGGGCTTCTTTCTGAGTGGGGTGGCCTATACTGGGTGCCCCATCCCTAGAAAGTCTCTCAGGAATGGCAAAGAGATGACAGTCTCTCTGCACCAACAGGAATGCAACTCCTGTTATCAGTGCCCCAGTAAAGCACAGTGTTAGAGTCTATAGGGCACCCAGAACAGCACAAATCCATTCCTTTCCTGCTACAGCATAACTGACATGATTTCTTGTCAGTGTTTTGTAGAAAATGGTAAAACGTATACAAATGTTGTTTTCTCTGCATACACAATAAAAGTAAGGCATTTCCATTACTTTGTAATAAGCTCCTATTTCAAATGCTACCCTCAATATGTCCTAAGCCACCAAGAGTCAGGAGTAACCTAGTCACAGTTAACCACAGAGAGACCGGTACTATTCTTGTTAATTTGCTGTCATTTAGAAAATAGAGAATAAGGTGCTAACCCACACAAGGGATGCTGAACCTGGGGGCTCTATAGCTTAAAAGCTGCTATTATATATATATACACCACTGAGTAGGAACCAACCAACCCACAGTTGACACTCTGGCAGGTTTTCAGAGGAGGTTAATTATATGGGAGGAAACTGCCCATCCTTCTCCCACAGAGCAGGTGGTGGACTCAAACTGCATGCCTTTGGGATTACAGCACAGCTTCTTGCCACTAGGCCCCCTCATAAGGATCTCTATGAACAACAGTTCTGAACCTCGCCCTGTCCTGCAACATCCTGATCACTTCTGACACTCTTGAGCCCGTTATATTGTCACTCTGTCAGTTCATCTCACTGAGGGTTTTCCTCTCTCTCACTGACCCTCTAACTTTCTAAGCTTATACAGAACAACTTAAAACACATTGCTGCCAAGTCTTTACGACTCACAGGGACTCTCCATCAGGATTCTGAGTCCATCAGTCTATACAGGAGGAGGATGTCCGTTTGTCCCCCTCGGAGTGGCTGGTGGACTTGATCTTTGGCTAGCAGCCCAATATATTACACAATATGCACCCAGGCTCCTTATACATAGAAGGAGCAGAAAATTGGGTCATTTTCCAAGCAAAAGAAATAGCACAATAGTAGGGAATAAATGTTTAATAGGATAGTGAGTTGGAAGTCATTAAGTGTACAGTTTTGTTCTTAAATGATCTTTTCTCCCTAATGAAGATAACATTTAGGAAAATAGGATTACTAGGAAAATAGTGTCAGTTACAGCTCTTTAGTTTTACTAGAGTCAGTTCCTGCCCCTTCTTAAATGTCTGTTGAATAATTAGGGCAAAGATGCAGAGGTATTTTGGTTTACTTAAGAACATTCTTCTGTTCCCCCTCCCCTCTTATTTATTGGGAGAACGAATACAAGGCAGGGCTTCTGAAGAGTTCAGTAAGAACTGGGCTTTCCACAGAATGACAGATCCCACCAGCTGTGGACATAACCCTCAGTATCCTCACTTCCTGGTTGGTGGTGGCTTCCTGTCAGCCTTATTTTGACCTTCAATTGTTCTAAATTTACCTATATCTCTACTTCCCCTTTCTCTTTTTGAAAGGAGTTCTGGGGGTGCTGTGGCTAAGGCAGTTGGCTGCTAACCAAAAAGTCAGTGTTTCAAACTCACCATTCTGCCCTGTGGGAGGAGATGTGCTGTCTGCCTTCACTAACAGCAAAAGCCTTGGGAACGACAGGGCACTTGTATGCCGTCTTACAGAGGAGTTACTAGTTGGAAACGACTCAGTGGCAATGACTTAATTTTTCCTTTTTTTCTCCTTTTACAAATCTTATGTTTTAGTAATTTTAGTTTCACAAGAAATCACAAAGATAGTACAGAGAGATTGTATTCACTCACTTTCTACCAATGCTTACATTTTGTATAATGAGGTGCAATTTTTAAAATCAGGAAATCTCACTGGTCCAATGTGTGTATATGGTTACACTGCAGCTCTATAATCCTCTGCATAAGTAAGAACTCTTACAGCATCACCAAGCCCTCTCAGAATCAGAGCCACAACCTCCTTCCTCCATACCTAACCTTTGGAAACTACCTTTCTGTTTTCTATCTCTATACTTTTGTCATTTCAGGCATGCTATATAGAACAATACAGAATGTTTCCTTCTGAGATTGTCTTTTTACTTTTTACTTTGAGGGCTTTCTGTGGTGTCACATACACTGGGAACTCATTCTCTTTTATTGCTGGGTAACATTTCATGGTATGGGCTGACCGATTTTTGTTTACTCATTTATCACAGTCAGATAGCTGGATTGTGTCTGGTTTGGGGCTATTAAACACAAGCTGTTATGAGCAATGAGGCACAGATTTTTGTGTGGACATAGATCTTCAGACAATGGTGATGCATGAAGTGCATTAGCCAGGAACTGAACCAGGATCCCCTGCACGTAAGGGGAAAAAAAATTCAATGACTGAATCATCACCAAAACAGTGACATTTCTGGGACTCCAAGTGGAGGTTTAGATTCTGCAACTCTCTGCACAATTTTTAAACTAAACACCTTTCTTAAAGTCTCTCACTCATCCAGTGTCATTTAATTGGAATCCACACATGGCAGACCATCCAGTGGGTTTTCAGAGGCTGTAAACGGCACAGGAGGAAACCATGTTTGTTCCTCAGAGCTGCTGGGGAATCCGAACCACCACAGAGGTGCCACCTTTCAATCAGCAGAGCAACTCTCTTCAGACTGCACCACAACAGCTTCCTCTTAAAGTGTCTAGCACTTTGGAAGATAAGTTTTTCTAAGGAAATGCACTAACTGTATGCTTATAAATTAAGCTTTCCCAAATCCACACTGAAACAGAGAGTATAAACAAATATTTTAAAGGTGAGTATCAAAAGGCCTTAAGGTTAAAAGGGGAGGGGAGTACATTTTGATGGTACTACATTTTTAAATCGTCTCACATCCTTCAGGCATGTTGCTAGGAGGGGCTATTCCTTGACTTCATGCTTGGAAAGGCAGAGGATTAGAGAAGAAGAGGAAGACTCTTGACTAGGTGGATTGATAAGATAACTGCTGCAATAGGCTTTCAGGTATCAGGAAGTGTGAGGATGGCACAGGATAGGACAGGGTTCAGATCCATTGTTCATAGAGTCACTATGTGTTGTACTCAATGGCACCTAACACCAGCAACACAAATAATAATATTTTTAAAAGAGAAAAGGAAAAGTGGACCTACATAGAACCATTTAAAACAGAAATGTGATTAGGTATTACTTGCATGACAAGAGTCCAGAATAAAGGGGAGCTCTGGTGGCCTAGTGGCAAGAAGCTGCACTGCAATCCCAGAGGAACACGGTTCGAATCCACCAGACGCTCTGCCGGAGAAGGAGGCGCAATATCCTCCTGTACCAGTCAGATCTGATTTGACGGTACACGCGCACACACACACACACACACACACACAAAAAAAAAAGAGTCCAGAATAAGAGATGCATAGTAAAGTACACTGAGGGGGGGAACTGTGTAACAGTGAAAGAATTTTTTTTTTTCATGTCAAAGAGAAAAGTGAACTGGGAGGGAGGGGTGGGTAGGGAGAAAAATGTGCAAAAATGAATGAATGGAAATCCAAGTTCTCTATAATCTTTCATTAAAATCTAACAAAATAAGAGAGAGAAAAGACTCAAAAGGACATGTTGAAAGAATACGACTCAAATGCCTGAAGGCAGCAATATCGTACAAGAGACAAGAGCAGATGGCCTTTCCACTCTGCTGGTAGCTGTAGATTGCCTGGTTGCCTCCAAATACCATAGGAAACAGGTGCACAGGACAAAGGTGTTACCCTGTCCTCATCCTACTCCCAGGAAGAACGTAACATCTGAATGTGCCTGAGATTCAGCCCTGTTGCGTACACTGTTCTGGGGCCCAGCATACACCCTGGTAAAGCTCCTTTCCATTTTAAGACCACAATAAAAGATGAATAAAATGTGGTACACTTACTTGAGGTGGAATATGTATCCTTGATGGCTCGTTGGAGCCCCTGGCTCATTTATCATTTTAAAGTATTTCTCTTTCTAACAACTTTAGTTTGCTTGGCTCCACAGTCAACACTCTTGGCACCAGTAGCCGGGAAATTAAAAAAAAAACATATTGTGATAGGAAAGTCTGCTCTCCAGGGTACTGAAGAGCAATGGTGTCACTCTGGAGACTAAGGTGCGTCTAATACATGCTATGGTCTTTGCAATCACTTGTTATGCATCGGAGAGTTGGACAATGACTAGGAAGGACAGAAGGAGAATGGATGCCTTTGAGCTGTGGTGCTGGAGAAGAGTATTGCGTGTACCATGGACTGCCAAGAAAACAAACAGATTCACCCTGGAGAGGGTTAAACCAGGCTACTCCTTGGAGGCAAGGATTCTGAGGCTTCATCTAACATACTTTGGACATGTTGTAAGGAGGGCCAGGTCCTTGGAGAGGGACATCATGCTTGGAAGGGTGGAGGGATGGCGTAGGAGGTGAAGACCCTCTATGAGGTGGACTGACTCAGTGACTGGAATAATTAACATGGGTGTGTCAGAGGCAGTGCAATTGGCACAGGATACAGCAGGATTTAGGGCCATTGTACATAGGGTCGCTATGACAACAACAACATCACAAAACTTAGAGAAACTGTAAGAGGCAGAAAGTTGCAATATATCTTGTTTTTAGCTGTCATGGAGTTGATTCCAACTCATGGTGACTGGGTGTTGAGGTCTTCACAAAGGGTCTGTGGTGGCACAGTGTGTAAGGCATGAGGCTGCTATCCACAAAGTCAGTAGCTCAAATTCACCAGCTGTTCCTTAGGAGAAAGAAGGGCAACCTCTTCCCATCAACAGTCTCAGCAACCGGATGGACAGTTCCTAAGTAATGGTACTGACTTAAATGCAATGCCCTAGATTTGGGTTTCACAGGATTTTCAAGGCTGTAGCCTTTCAGAAGAGACGTGCAAGCCAGTCTTCTGAGGTACCTCTGGGTGGATCTGAATCAGCAAGCTTTCTTATGCTACTAGTTGAATGTTTAATCATTTTCACTACTCACAGATCCCTGTCATAGATCTAATATTATGAAATAATGTGTTATGTTAGATAATGAATTTGAAAGTAAGCCTATGGCAGGAACAACATTTCCAAATGCTACACCAGAAGCACAACAGCCTCTTATATAAAGACTTATCAGAAATAAACTTACATAGAAGAAGCAAAAATTAGGTAAGTCATTCAGCATATTAAAAATTTGGGTGTACTTATCTACTGATATTTTATAGTTTTATTTTTAATAACCCAGAAACATGGTGCACATGCATGTGAAAGCTAGACAATGAATAGGAATACTTTGAATTATGGTGTTGTCAAAGAATATACAAACTTGTCTTAAAAGCAAGGCAGCCAGGGTGCTCCTTAGAAGCAAAGACACTGAGACTGCATCTCACATACTTTGGGCCTGCTATCAGGAGGGCCAGGGCCTGGAAGGCAGCACACTTTAAAAAGCAGGGCTCATTTAAAGAGAAGGCCACCCTCAAAGAGATGGAGAGACTGTGATTGCAATAGAAGACACACACTCAGCGGACTGAGAATGGTGAGGGATTGGGCAGAGCTCTATTCTGTTGTGAACTGGATCACTGTAATGCAGCGGACTAGGTAGCACCTAACAACAACATCAGAAATGTGACAGCCCTTAGTGCCAACCACAGAACAGACATCTGGCCCGCTGTGGATGAACTGCTCTCTCCTACAAATTCTTGGCCCTACTCCAGAAGAGGGAGATGCAAACCTCTGTCTTCTTTGATCTCAGAATAGGTTTTCTTTTGGGAAGGGCTTGGATTTGACTCATGACAAGCCCAACAATATCAGAACAGAAGTAGGTGACATCGGGCTTGCAGTGCCTGCCTTCCAGAATATAGCCAGGCCTTTAGTCTGCAAATGGCTGGAAACTGTTCAGCTGGGAGCTGGGCATGTGGCACGCTGGCTGGGAACTGAACCTGGGCCTCCTGCATGTCAGATGAGAATCCTACCAGTGAACCATGAGCTACGCTAGTCATCTCATAAGGACCCCCTGCCATCATTTCCCCAAATGGTCCCACCCACACAGAACTGATGCTCAGGAGGGTGAGCCAGGCAGGCCACCACAGCCCCAGCAACTGACCTGAGGGTCCCATTGCGAATGAAGCCCGAGGGGCACTCCTGCAAGCACTCGCCATTGTGGATCACGAAGCCCTCCGGTTCGGTGCTCTCGGCATTGGGAATGTTGGCACAAAAGTCACGGTCCACGCAGCGCCAGCCTTCAAACCTGTAGGTGTTGGGCGGGCAATTGGGGAGGCAGGTGCCCTCGTGGTAGAAGTGGCGGCAAGCCACACAGGCTGTGGCATTGTCAGGTGCGGTGCAGCTGCCCAGGCACTCTGGGTGGCAGCACTCGTTGTTCTCGGAGCATGCGCGCTTCCCACACACGCTAGGGCACACTGTGGGCAGAGAAGGAACAGGGTGAGGCTGGCAGGGGTCCCGAGGCGCCCAGCATGTCCTGGGTCTTCACTACACATATAGTTCATTTAGCAAATACAGGAAAATCAATAACTCCGTGCAATTCCAAGAGTCAACCAACCCCTGTGCCCTTCTCTCCTCACTGGGCTCGAGGTTGACAGTATGAGAGACCATTCTAAGTTTCACCAAAGCAGGGGTAGAACTTGGTATTTTCTCAGGAGACCAGCTCCCATCCATTCATTCTTTCCTCCTTCTTCCTTGATTGTGAGCCTCTCTTCTCTCTCTTTAAATTTGGAGTAATCACACACATTGAAAAGTGGTCTGGGCAATAAGTAATAATGTGGACATCCTGATGAATAAATGGTTTATTATTACTTTTCAAAAAGCCCTATTTTTATCATCTGGAATCTCAGATATATTCCTGGCTACTATCTTTTCATAAGCTTCCATGTGCAGAAACGCTAGTTTATTCTGGAAATGATAAAAACCTCATCATTGTCAAGATGACACTGTACCAGGGCTGCAAAATGGCATCAGAGGGTCTGGGCTTCCTCACAACAATAGATCAAAGATTCTGCCTCAATGAAGAGTAAGGGATCACATCACCTACCAACTTTTACACACGGCTTAAATCAGAGATGTCACCGTACTGTACAGGCACTCTTAATACAAGAAAGGGGAGACTGGGCCCCAGTCTATGAACAGTGAGAATCAACACCTTAGATACCATCCCCTCCAAGCCCCTTAAGTGCTACAGTTAAGTGACTACAGTACCTCTCCTAGCAACAGAAGCACAAGTCACCTTCTGAATAGATAAACTGGCATTCATTGTCATCACAATGCTGTAACTGCCACACTTAAATGACTGGTGGTCTCACTCACAAATAGAGTACAAATTAACAAAACAGGAGCTCTGGCTTACTGTACAGATTTTCTACCATTCCTTTCAGTTGGCAAAAAAGCACAAACCATTTAAATATGCATATTTTGACTCTGACATATACTCTTTCCCTCCCTTAAAAGTATATGCTTCACGGTTCGAATCCACCAGATGCTCTGCCGGAGAAGGAGGCGCAATATCCTCCTGTACCAGTCAGATCTGATTTGACAGTACATGTACACAAAATAATAAAAAATAAAAAATAATAAAAAAAGTATATGCTTCAAAAATCAGAGACCATCTATATGCAAAGAGTTAGAAAAAGCCATGAGGGTCACACATGCCTCTTGTCATTCCCTTTCCGAGGACTCTCCCCAATCCTTTTTGAACAGGTGCATACACAGGTAAATATAATCACCTACCAGAAGGAATCAGCCGTTCTGAAAGCCCTGTTTTTTGACAGCTACCTTCCATACCACTGTCCAGCCTATCAAAAATTACAGTCCATTTCCTATTATGTCAACCTTTCACTTGTGTCCAAGATTTCTTTGTTACAAATAAGATGGCCTTCTTTGTAAGTATCCTTGATTAATTATTTAGTTAGGATAAATTTCCAGAGCTGACCTTGCTGGTTAAAACCATTTTCTGTCATATGTGCCTCACCTTAAGACTCTCTCTGGCTGTAGCCAAGGATGCCTGTTTCACTGGAAATAGGTCAATCTAAACAGAGAAATCAGAAGTAGTTCAGATGGATGCTGACATTATTCAAATAGATGGTGCTACCTCTAAAGAGAATACTTATTCTAATAAAGACAGCTTTACGTAATTTTGCAACTCTCTGTTTTGAACTCATTTTTGACAGAAACGGATTGTCTTCCATTATTTATTCTTCTTACACTTTCAAATACAGAACCCTGGTTTTTGATTGGGTATATCATACTGTCATGCACCTTGATAATACACCTCCTAGTCTTTCTTATAATGAGAAATATCCATGTGACTGACATTCTGGTCAGTGAAATATAAGCAACTTTTTGTACAGAACTTACTAGCATATTCCTTAAAATAGAACGGGCAAGCCCTTCCCTTCACTTGCCCGCTGCAGTGTAGGAGCAGCCTGGTTTAACACTCTCCAGGATGAACCTGTTCTTTTTCTTAGCAGTCCATGGTACATTCATTACTCTTATACAGCACCACAGCTCAAAGGCATCAATTCTCCTTCTAGCATTCCTAGTCATTGTCCAGCTCTCTGGTGCATAGCAAATGATGTAAAAAAAACTGTGGCCTGTATCAGGTGCACTTTAGTCTCCAAACTGACACTGTTGCTTTTCAGTATTTTGAAGAGGTCTCTGAAAGCTGACTTTCCCAATGCAATCTGTCTTTTAATTTCCCAGTGCCAAGAATGTTGATTGCGGAGCCAAGCAAAGTGAAGCTGTATACACAGGAGGTTATTTCACTGGTGGAAGCTACTTTAGAAGACATGCAAGTAAAGGTCAAAGAGTTGTGGTTAGCTGTCATGAGATCAGATCCCAATGCATGATGATCCACATACAGTGCAATGAAATACTTCCTAGTCCTGCACCATTCTCAGGATTAGTCAGACATTAAGACTATAAAGAGTTTTCACCATTTGATTTCCAACAGATCACCAGATCTTTCTTTCTAATCCTTCTTAGTCTGAAAGCTTCCTTGAAACTTGTTTGGGAACCTACAAAGAAAGATGAGTGAGGGCTGCACATGAATCGGTGCACAGGCCAGAAACCCAACGTGGATCTCCTGCTCAGAAAAGGAGAATTCCAATGACAAACCACCATCGCCTTAAACTTAGTTTAAATTTTAAAAATGTAAAACTTAAATGTCATTTTCTAGATAGAAAGACTCATTCTCTTTAAGGGAACACAGATGGAAGAAGTCTTCTATGTGAGATTATCTAAAAGATCTGACACATAGTATACACACTACTGGGTTCAGATAGCTGTCCACCAAGGGATGGGGGAAAGGCAGAGGGAGAACTTTAAAAGTCCAAACCTGTTCATTAAGGTAAACCTCCACCAACATGAGGTCGCAGCAGAGAGAGGCCAATGCTGGTTCTTACCTCGCTGAATGACCTGCACACGAGGAAGCTAGCAGGCAGGCAAGGGACACATGCAAGTCTGACATTACAGAGTCCTGGAACCAGCCCCAGAAGCCTGTTGTAAATTTTGCCTCATCTCAATGGACATAAATATTATTAGTGTTTAGGACTATTAAGGGATTTCATGAAAAGCCCTGGGCAGTATGAGTTGCCAGCAAATGGACAGAGGTTCAACATGAGTGAGTGCCAAAGCTTAGAATTCAGTACAGCCACCAAATTCCCAGTGAGGGCACCATGGGAAGGAGCATGGGAGCCTCCTCCTTGCTTCTATGAGCAGGGAGCAGACCTCGTGTGATTGAAGACAGGACACCTTTAAAAAGAAGACTTAAAATGAAGCTGCTATATCCTAGCAAATACACAGCAGTAAAAGCAAAGCAATTTTGCCTACAAGATTGTCCTTTCTAGTCAGCTGGAATGCTTACAATGACCAGCAATAAAATTGAAATTCTATGCTCATAAAGTGTTCTGTGTTAAGGAGTTGTGTTGCCAACACAAAGGCATGCAGCTCGAATCCACCAGCTGCTCCTGGGGATAAAGAAGAGTAATCTCCTCCCTCCCATGTGATCTAGTCTCTGGAAACTTGCTGGAAGGTCAGCTATGAGGCAATTCCAACTCGACCCCACACAATAAAGTATTCTTCTAGAGAAAACAGGGAAGATTCTGCCTCCTCACAAAGAATAACAAAACAAGAGAGGCCATTAGTCAAGCAGTATTTGAAAGGATTGAAGCTCAACATCAAGAAAACAAAGATTCTCACCACTGGGCAAATTGGCAGCATCACTATGGATGGTGAAGAGACTTAGATAGTTAACAGTTTTAGCTTGCTTGGCTCCACAACCAACACTCTTGGTAACAACAGCCAGGAAATCAAGAGACGAACTGCAATGGGAAAGTCAGCTGTGAGGGACCTCTCAAGAGTACTGAAGAGCAACGACATCAGGCTGGAGACTAAGGTGTGCCTGATCTGGACTATAGTCTTTGAAATTACGTGCTATGCATCAGAGAGTTGGGCAGTGAATAGGGTTGGTAGAAAGAGAATTGATGCCTTTGAGCTGTGGTGCTGGAGAAGAGTGTTGAATATACCATGAACTTCTAGGAGAACAAACGGGTTTGTCCTGGAGAGGGTGAAGCCAAAATGTTCCTTGAAGTCAAGGATTCTGAAGCTTCGTCTGACATACTTTGGGCATGTTGCAAGGAGGGACTGGTCCTTGGAGAGGGACATCATGTTTGGCAGAGTGGAGGGACGGCGAAGGAGATAAAGACCTTGGATGAGATGGATTGATTCTGTGACTGGAGCGGTGGGAATAAGTGCGTTTGAGATGCCTAGGTTGGCACAGGATAGAAGAGTGTTTAGAGCTCTTGTACACAGGGTCGCTATGAGTTGCAAATGACTTGAGGGCACACAACAACAACAACAAACCGTTTTGATCTCTTAGCTACTAACGGAAACACCAGTGGGTTGAATCCATTCAGAGGTACTGAGGAAGAAAGGTTTGGCAACGTACTTTTCACATGTCATTCTGTAGAAATCCTACAGAGCAGCATAGGACCATGCAAACACTCATGACTCAAAAGCAAATAATTTCTAAAGACTGGTACAAATGTATGGACATTAAATTCTGACTCAAAATACAAACTAGTTGAGGCACACCTCTGTTGTTTGTGGGCTCACCCTAAGTAAAGCACCAATGTTCCTTATAAAAAGCAGATGCTTTCCTAATAAGTATGTATTGTACATAACATTAATTGCCCATAAGTCTAAGAGAGTGAACTTCAGCTCCAAAGTGTTTCAGGGAAATAATGGTCCAGAGAAATGTTATGGTTTTCTTGTCTTGGAAGAAGAGAGGTCGAATCCAACAGCTGTCAAGGGAGGGCCAAAAAGAGGGGACTGTGTTGTCCCCTGGCTCATGGGGGCTCCCAGTACACCCAAAGGTCCACCCACATTGGACCGTCTCGAGGGCTCTCAA